AGACACTATGGGACGCCCTGACATAGACTTTGTAGCAGTGGGAACCATGGTCGCGCTGGCCAATATGGAGCCACCAGCAGCATCCTGTGGCCCTCCTCGAGGACTCTCTGAAAGGTTGGCCAAATTAGAGAAAGGGGTAGAAAGGCATATAGGAGGACCCTTGGCCAAGGATGAGCCAATGTGTCCTGGCCCAGCTCACCCGACGCCCCCGTAAGAGAGTACCATAGGGGACACCGAGTCGACTCTTCCGTTGCAAACAGGTCTATCTCTGCCTGACCAGAACGGTCCCAGATCATCAGCACTATGTCTCTGTGGAGGGACCACTCTCCCAGAGTGGACCCTTGGCGGGAGAGAAAATCTGCGATCTGATTGTGTCGCCCTGGTAAGTATGCTGCCTGCAGGGTGGACAGGCGAGGATAGGCCCATTCCAGGAGCTCTCTAGACACTCTCAGAAGTTGTGCTGACCTAGTACCCCACTGATGGTTGATGTGGTAGACAACAGAGGTGTTGTCTGACTGAACAAGAACATGCCCCCCTTCCAGGTGAGGCAGGAAGTGCCTGAGTGCCAAGTGCATTGCACGCATCTCCAGCACATTTATATGCTTGGAGCAGTCCCTTTGACCCCAGCGACCCTGAACCACTCTGCGTAGCCACACAGCCCCCCATCCCATGGAGCTGGCATCTGTCGTGACTACTTCCCTGCGACACACTACCACTCCCATAAGGTCACCCCTGGACAAATAATCTTCGTCCCTCCATGGAGTCAGAGCATGAAAACACGACCAAGTCACTGCGAGCTTGCGATGCCTGTGCAGCCTGGCATCCAGGCAAAAGCTGTTGAGCCACCTCTGCAAGGGGCGAAGTGACAGCAGGCCTAAGGGCACCACCCGAGTGACTGATGTCAGTTTGCCAAGGAGTTGCAGGAAGGCAACATAGGGGAGCTGCCTGTCCAGCCTGAATCGTCTGACCAGCTGGAGTATGCCGGCCACCCTTTGAGCGGATGGGCGAGCTCTCATGGAAGATGAATCCAGAACCACCCCAAGAAAGGTGATCGTCTGGGAAGGGATCAGGCAGCTCTTCTCCAGGTTGGCATTGAGGCCCAACTGGGACACATGAGCGAGCAGGCGGTTTGTATCGTGAAAGGCACAGGCCTGAGACGGGGCGCAGAGAAGCCAATCGTCTAAGTATGGCAGAACCTTCACTTCGCAAGCCTGCAGAACAGAGAGGGCTGCCTTCATGCACTGAGTGAACACCCTCGGGGAGAGAGAGAGCCCGAATGGGAATACCCGGAACTGCCAGTGGTGAACCCGATAGGCAAACCTGAGAAATCGGCGATGTTCTGCCGCAATAGGCACATGAAAATATGCATCCTTCAGGTCTACAGACGTGAACCATTCTTCCCTCGTGACAGCTTGAAGGACTTCTGCTGTCGTGAGCATGTGGAAGGGCAGCTCCCTTAGGTACTGGTTGAGTCCCCTCAGATCTAAAATGGGACGAAACCCGCCTGCCCTCTTTTGAACAAGGAAGTAAGTTGAGTAATAGCCTCTGGGTTGTTGCAGAGGGTCCACTGCCTCTATTGTGCCCTTGGCCAGGAGGGTGGAAAGCTCCTGGTCTAGTGCTCAAGCTTTCACTGGGTCGGCGATTACAGTCATCTTGACCCGGCGTGAGATATGAGGCTGCCATCAGAATTGTAGCTGGTAACCATGGGTCAGAGTGGCAACCACCCATGGGTCCATGGCGTGAGCAGCCCAGTAACTGAGCTGCTGGTGGGAGAAATATCCGACGGTCGGCCTGATGGCATCACCGTCTCCCTCCAGGGCCCCTAGGGGCCGTGGGGGGGAGGCGACCAGAGTCCCTGGTCCGAGCCTGCCCAGCTGGTAGGTGGACCGACCCACGAAAGCTCCTGCTGGGCCTTTGCTGAACCGCATGAGGGTAAAGACCACCTGGCTGATTATGACCCCCAGGCAGCGGCTACATGCTGGGGTCAGTCGACGGGCGCCTTGGATGCCGAGGAGGTGGAGGGGACATTGCCCTGCTAAGGCTCGAAAGTTGCTGCCTTCTCTGTCGTGCCTGGACGGTCCGTTCCAGCGCTTCCAAGGCAGCCGAACTGAACAATTCCCCCAGCACCACTGGGACATTACGGAGGGTTCTACATCATGGCTCAGTCAATGCTGACTACGCCAACCAGACCTGTCGGCGAGCCTGGACCAAGGAGGACATCACGCGCCCAAGTTCCCTCGTCATTAGTGCAAAGGCCTGAAGCACTGCATCGCTAAAGCCCATTGCTGCTGTTGCACTACTAGTCCCCTGAAGGGACACAGAGAGGGCAAGCATGAGGTGTGCCAAGGAATTGCTGAAGCGGCCAGCACGTGCTCCAGCGGCATAGGCTCTGCAGAGGAATTCATCCGTGATGCAACACAGCTCGTGGGCACCAAACATCACTGCGCAGAGCTTCCTCTGGTTACACGATGAGAGAGGCAACAGCAGGTTCTATTGCCAGCATGCGATCCAGGCCTGCTGTAGCCGGCTCATGCATAGCCGCCAACACTCGGCCATCTGCGGAAAGGTGCGCAAAGGCTTTGGGGTCCCGCCAGCAACCATGCAACTCCCTCAGGAACTCCTCTGATGGAGGGACAGAAAAGGAAGGAGGGGTCAGTCTGCGCCTGAAGAAGGCACTTCCAGGGGTGGACTCCTCCGGTTGTGGGAGGTCCAGCTGCAGTTGTCTCAGGGCCATACGCATGACGTCCTGCATTGCATGACGTCCTGCATCGAGCTGTCACCAGACCCACTAATTGCGCTCCGAGAAGAAGAAAGTGAAGCTGTCTCTGAGACTTGAGATAAATGCCCCTCCTCCTCACCTAAAAAGTGAGAGGCAGAGGCAGCCAAGGATAGCACATCTTCCTCTGCAGCCAGTTCAGGCATGGGTGGGGAGGAGAGTCCGGTCGCTGCCACTGGTTCAGTTCCCAGTTGGCGTACCTGAAAAAGGGACTTCATCTCTGCTAATTCAGCGGAGAGCTGCTCCACCCTCTTGGAGAGACCCATATCAGACCTGGCTTGCCTCTTCCCAGGAGGGGCCACAGAGACTGCGGCCTCAGTCCGGCACTTCGAGCACCTAGGTGGAGCCTCCTGCCCAGAATGCGGGAGGTTATCGCCGAGTTCGGGGTGAAACTGGGCCAGCCAGGCCACCCTCACAGCACACGACATGAAGCTGCAATTCATGCAGGTGTTCTCTGACAGGGCCTCCACCAGATGGTCATGTCCAAGGCAGGCAGGACACAGGTAGTGACCGTCATCTGTCTGGAGCATGGCTCCACAGACTGTACAGCAGTGAGAGCCGTCCAAGCTCCTTACCCAGCTATGTCCAAGATATAGGATGAAAAATTACGGCAAAGAAACTCAGAAGGGTTAACACTGCTAGCTCAGCCGGTAAAGAAGACAATTGGGAGAAGGGGTGCGAACGCTCGCCTTCACCAGTTAAAACAAAGCCAAAACTCACAGAGGCTAGCACCATTAGCTCAGCTGGGAAAAGAGGACAATTGCGAGAGGGGGCGCAAACGCTTTCCTTCACCAATTACAACAAGGCCAGAACTCAGAGAGGCTAGCACCGCTAGCTCAGCTGGTAAAAGAGAACAATTGGGAGAGGAGCGCGAACGCTTTCCTTCACCAATTAAAACAAGGCCAGAACTCAGAGAGGCTAGCACCGCTAGCTCAGCTGGTAAAAGAGGACATTGGGAGAGGGGTGCGAACGCTTTCCTTCACCAATTAAAACAAGGCCAGAACTCAGAGAGGCTAGCATCGCTAGCTCAGCTGGTAAAA